AGATATGGGAAGATAAAAAATGAGTAATGTAAAAACGGATTTATTATCCGACCTGATTCATATTTTATACGGATAAAAAATGGGTTAACCGGTGGATAATGACTTCTTGAATATGTGACCACTTTTGGGAGAATTCCTAGTCTTCCAAACTTGAGAAATCCTTTGTTTGAGTCTTTGCAATATAATAGTGAAACTCATTGGTTATCCTTTTTTCAAGCGAATAATATGGATTTTATCTATAGATTTTTAAAAAGTTGATTATCCAACCTATTTTTTAGTAGATAATATGGATGAATAACTATTTTTTTATTCATTGCCACCACTACTTACACATGACTAATTCCGCCCTTGATCCTGTAGAGTATAAAATACCCCCAATCACAACCAAGAACCCACAAACTAACTTCTACATCTTTCTCAACATGAAAGTAGAGAAAATGGAAAATGTTGCAATCTTGATGATAGTCATATTAACAATGGTCAAATTCATGGTACAACCTGGACAAGCCACAATAACTTGTGGTGAAGTTGAAACTTCCTTGGCCCCGTGCATCACTTATCTTACTCAAGATGTACAACCTTATCCTGCATGCTGTAATGGTGTCAGAAATCTCAAAGGGATGGCTCTAACAGTGACTGATCAGAGAACAGTATGTATCTGTCTCAAGAATGCTGCTAAGCGTTACTCAAATCTAAAAGAGGATGCAGCTCAAACTCTTCCTCAGAAATGTGGGGTCAAACTTGACTTTCCAATTTCAAGAAGCTTCAATTGTGAACTGTCAGTTCTTTTCTTATCTCCATTTTTTAGATTTTAAGTTCTATGCAGTATAAAAATATATTTACCGTATCAAGTCACTGTCCATAAAAAGTTTAACTAAACAACCTACTACCTGTAATATTCTAGAGCAAGCATGGTTCGCGCGGTAACCTGCACATTATAGTAAATGAGGTAAAACTAAACTAAAATTAGTAAATTTAAATCTGTCACAAGAAGTGAAATTAATAACCTAAAAGTTAGACAGCAGATTTTCTACAACATTTTTGTTTGATAATGTAAAGATTCTTTTGGTGTAATAAGTATATATAAGGTAAATCTTTTTTCTTTTTTTTTTTCTCCTTACCTTTTTGTTTCTTTCTTTCCCGGGTTATGTATATTCCGTTTAAATGTTATTTGCTAGTTGCTACATTTATTTGCAAGTATATTGTGGTTTAGTTAATGCTTAATTATTTTTAGCTTTGCTAATATTCTTCTACCGTCTCCTTTTTCTTCTTTTACAGCATCAGCTAATTCGGGAGGCCGCTAGAGATTCTTCATTACTATTCCATACAGAATTAAAATGATAATTTGCATATCTACTTGTAAACTTGTTAACATGATTTGCATTTAACCTCAAATATGGTGATGCAGTGTAGAAGAAAACCTCTTGCGTTTCCGTTAAATGATTGAGTATTAAATCGTCGTATCGATAAAGATAACCGAAAGAGTCTATTCAGGTTCAGTCAGTTATTTCAGAATATTGGCAAAATAACCTAAAAATAAGGAAAAATAAGGGGGAAATGAGGAAAAGGCCAAAAAAATGAGATAAAAGAAGTAAATAATAATCCTGGCCAAAGAGATATGCCATGTCAGCACTCTTTGGCACTCTTATATATATATATATATATATATATATATATATATATATGTCACAAATTCTACTTTATTGTGACAATTACAATCAACCATCAGAATAATTATGTCATTTTCGTTTAATGTCATTAGTTTTATGTAATATTAAACAGAAAAAATGTATATTAAGTATAGAGGTTGTTTTTTTTCCTTATTTTCTATTGTTAGTTCTAAATATCACTAAACTCATTTTACTTCTAATTTTCCTTATATTCTTTGTAGTGATTTTAAATATGTACTTTTATCATAAAGAATGGGTTTTTCCCCCCTTCTAGACAAGAATGATTTAACAACGAATAAATGCAGGGAAATTTTCAACATTAGATGTACATATTGTTAATTACCGACAAATATATTGTCACGACCCAAAATTCAACTGGTCGTGATGACACTTAACCCAACCCGCTAGGTAAGCCAATTACCAACTATCCAATTCCAATAAAATTAACAAGGCAATTAATTAAAAGAAAATATCTAAAACCAATACATTTTCCCAAGAACTGGTAGTACAAATCATGAGCTTCTAAGAATAGAGTATACAAAGCTGGTATGAAATAAATACCTCATCTGTTGGAAATGTACATAAACAGATTCTTATAAATCTAAGGCTACCATGAACAAGATGCAGTTACAACCAGAACACAGATACATCTTCAGATCCAGCTCCCAACGAACACAGCAACATCAGCAGCCAACATCTCCATGCAAGGTGCAGAAGTGTAGTATGAGCATAACTAACCACATGTACTCAATAAGTAACAAACCTAACCTTAGGTTGAAAGTAGTGACGAGCTTGTACCAAGGTCAGAGTCCAACTTCCATAACCAACAATAGTTCATAACAATATGAAACAAGTAATACCAGAAGTAACTCAACAATCAATGCTCAACAAAATCATGATTTTTGAAAATAGTTGTGCCCTTTCAAGTACATCAATGAAAACCCAAATCATTTACTGGAGTTTCCAAAAATATGAATAAGTTTGAAAATAATAATTTTTCCAAAATTCTTTCAATAATAAATAAGATGTTTCATTTTATTTGCAGATAACCCGTGTAAAATAAATGCATCACTATGCCCATCTGTCAACATGTGTGAGAAATTATGAATGATGTGATACCGTACAACATGAGAAAAATACATCTCTATGCTTGTATGTCATGTGTGCATGTCAATGCAATACTGTATGCGATGCACCATGCTGGCAGCCTCATGTGCTCACACTCTCGAATACTCAACCACTCGGTATTGTATATGGCCCATACGGCCCAGGGGAAGATCCATTCCGGAATATATACATCACTGACTATAAGTCACCCAGTACCGAGGAAGGGCAATCCATCCCTGTGGAGAAGATCCATCTCCAGGTTCACACTCTCAAATACTCAACTACTCGGTATTGTATATGGCCCTACGGCTCAGGGAAGATCCATCCCAGAACATATACATCACTGACTCTAAGTCACGAAGCACCGAGGAAGGCCAATCCAGCCCTGTGGAGAAGATCCATCTCTATATAATATCAACCACGCTCACTGGGGGTGTGTGCAGACTCCGGATGGGCTTCTTCAGCCCAAGCGCTATAATAAATTAGTATCAATATCAGAATCAATCAGGCCCTCGCCCTCACTCAGTCATCAATCTCTCCAGTCTCTCTCTCATGGGCTTACAATGTCATGAAAATAGCCCGAAAATGATAATATGATGTATCAATAAATAACAACAGAGACTGATATATGATATGTAATGAAATGAATATGACTGAGTATGAAATTTTAATTTAAATAAATAATTCACAGTAATATGACCTTTGAGGGTCTCAATAATACTGGCACATAGCCTCAACATGATTTTTAATATGATTCTCAGCTAAATTTTTTCAACATATAAAACTGCATAGAAAATGCCAAGATATTTGACTACAAATTTCTACGGAAATAATTACGTCACAATTTCTATGGTGCACGCCCACACGCCCGTCACCTAGCATGTGTGTCACTTCCAAACAATTCACATAATACGTATATTCAGGGTTCATACCCTCAACTCCAAGATTAGAAGAGTTACTTACCTCGAACAAGCCGAATCTAATGTCGAGCAAGCTAAACAATACTCCAAAAATTCCATTCTACGCGTATCAACTTCTAAACGGCTCGAATCTAGCCACAATAAATTTAATTCAGTCTTTTAACACAATTTATAGAAATTAATTCCATATCAAAATACCAATATTTTCCCACAAAATTCGAAATTACACTCCAAAAATCGCCCGTGGGGACCACTTCTCGGAATCCGACGAAACTCATAAAATCCGACAACCCATCCAATTACAAGTTCAACCATACTGATTTCACTCAATTCCGACTCTAAATCGATGTTCAAAACTCAAAAATTCATATTATGAACTTTAGGCCAACACCCCCAATTTCCTCTTTAAAGTCAAGAACACTTACCCCAAGTTGTGTGAAAATATTCCTCTCCAAAGTCGTCCAAATCGAGCTCCAAAATGAGAAAAATCTTGAAAACCCTCATTTTTAACACTGCCCAGGCATTCACGCACCTGCAGTGCCTGGGCTCGCACCTGCGCATCCGCTTTTGCGGAAGGAATTATGCTTCTGCGGACCTCACTTACTCAGCGAGCCTCTGCTTCTGCGATGCTTAGGACCACATCTGCAGTCGCGCTTTTGCGCAAAAATCACCGCAGCTGCAAAAACCCTAGGCCAGCCCCAGTCTCGCATCTGCGCCAACCCCGCCGCACCTGCGGCCAAGACCCTCGCAAATGCGATCACACCAGAGGCAGCAGTTCCAGCATTTTTCTTAAGTCCGAATTTGATCCGTTAACCATCCAAAACTCACCCGAGGTCCCCGAGACCTCAACCAAATATACCAACAAGTCCCATAACATAACACAGACTTACTCACAGCCTCAAATCACATCCAACAACATCAAAGCGACGAATCGCACCTCAAATCAAAATCTATGAACTCTGAAACTTCAACTCCCACAACCGATGCCGAAACATATCAAATCACATCCGATTGACCTCAAATTTTGCACACAAGTCAAATTTTATATTACGTACCTATTTTAATTTCCGGAATCGGAATCCGACTCCGATATCAAAAAATCCGCTCCCGATCAAACTTTTCAAAATTTTAACTTTGGTCATTTCGAGCCAAATTCAACCACGGACCTCCAAATCACAATCCGGACGCGCTCTTAACTCTAAAATCACCCAACTGAGCTAACAGAACCATCAAAATTCCAATTCGAGGTCAAATGCTAAAAAGTCAAACTTGGTCAACTCTTTCAAATTTAAAACTTCATAGTTGTGAATCATTCTTCCAAATCAGTCCCGAATAACCTGAAAACCAAAACCGACGATTCACACAAATCAAAATATATCATACGGAGCTACTCACACCCGTAAACTACTGAGCGAAGTGCAAATGCTCAAAACGACCGGTTGTGTCGTTACATATATGATATTTATAATAAAAGCTATTTTTTAATATTTTGTATTAAATATCGTTATTTTACGATATTTTATATCAAATATCGTTATTTTTACGATATTTTATATCACATATCGATGATTGTACAACATTTTGTATCAAATATCATTAAGTTTACGATATTTTTTCATAAATATAGGAAATTCTTTTTTTCCCAATATTTATTTCAAATGTCACCAAATAAATGCCGTCATATCCTCAATTTCTTGTAATGAAACGCGAGGCTTTCTTTTTCTTGTTTTCGGTATTATGATGAATATTACGGATTTTGCAACCGGTGAAAAGGGGGTAAAAGGCCATCAATCCAATGAGCACTTGTACAATTGGACCATCCGGTGTTCAAGCCCAAGCTAACTTCCATGTAAAACAAAAAGAAATAATGTGAAATAAAGATAATATTTATAAAAAAATAATATATTTGTGCAAAAACAAAATACTAAGAAGGTATATGTTGGCTATAAAACGAAAGCACACCAAATATCGCGGATTTTACTTTTCTTAAATTTCATACCAAATCAAATAAAATAAAAAATTATTTTTTCTAGTGAGTTGGTTTGATTTTTGATTTGATTCGATTTTTCGAGTTTCCTTCTACACCCCTATCTATAATATTGTTAAGCTTAATTAGAAAAGGCGAAGACAACTGATTTTTTATAATCAGTAACTCAATTGCTTTGAATAATTTATCTCTTTGTAAGGGTACTTTAAAATTTATGCTTTGAGCTATAATAATATGGACTCCAAAACAATGAAGGTTTTGCAAATTTGAATTAAGGAAGTTTTCAAATGTTACACGAAGAAATTGTCCCGCCAGAAATTGTTTTGGATTCAAACTACAAATTCTCCCTTCTAGAATAATAATAATATACATACTTATTATGTGCTTATCGTTTAGATAAGCTGATAATTTTACTAACTTTTTCCTTTGCAGTATAGAAATTAAACACTTACTTATATACAGTAATGAAATTTTACATTATCCGTTTATTCAGGTTTGTAGTTCCACTTTTTATGGATGATTTTCAGAATTTATTTTTTTAGGTAACCTAATAGTACAAAAATTCGTAGTAATGTATAAAAATTAAACTCTATGGTTAATTAGCTTTATCCTAACAACTTTTGGTATCATTATCAATTCAAATCTCTTGCTGACCGAGATTGACTAAGATTGAACCTGATCCTACGTACCAGATTTCTATATATACCTTCCTTAATACACAATCTGCATTAATTATATCTTTTTTCTACCTTCAACAATGGTTTCCTTCAAAAGTCTTTTATTTTTCTTTTTAGTTTTAGTTATTAGCACTTGTGATGCTTATCAAGTTTCTCATGACGGAAGAGCCATCACCATTAATGGTGAAAGAAAAGTTCTTTTATCCGGTTCCATTCATTACCCTAGAAGCACTGCTCAAG